AAGTTTCTACAACATGGGGTCCAAAGTCAACCATTTTTAAGAAAAAGACCTTTGAAGTTTTGACATTTTTTGACGAATATTTTAAATATAAAGAAAATTTTAATCATTATGTGATGTAAAAAAATTTAGTTTATTCAATTATTAAGTAATTATGCATTTTTAGTCAACAACAATAACAATAAATTGAAAAAACAACATACAAATTTCACTTGTAAATCGGTGTCTAAACATCTGGCAACATAGCACAATAAGGAATAGGTGGTTGAACAATGAACCTTGGTTGAACTGAATAAATTCATTTTTGAATTGTCTTGTCTAGTTGGAAAACGCGCGTAATTCAAATTCATTCTTTTTTGAAAATAAAATGTTTACAAACGTCGAATATGCAGATACTTGTTTCGGTAGAATCGTTGCAAAATGCTCATTTAGCCGCCAGAATTTACAGGGAAACTAGGTAAAGGTTTCCCGAAAGGAAAGCATTCACCTCATGAAAGAACATTTTGCCCGTTTTACAAAGATTGCGTGATACAGGAAGTGTGAGTGAGCAAAATCTACGTGTTGAGTTTAGTGTTTTGAGAATCTTTTAACAAAAATTAATATTTTCATAATAAGGATTTGACAAGTAGCTGAGTAAGTAATATTTGATTTTGCTCTTGAATGTCTAGTGGAAAAATGTCATTGAGTGCAATTCACAACTTAATAAAACGGCACATTTTTTATTTTTACTAGAAAAGTGCTAGAAATGCAAGTTATTATTTACTTTATTTGAAAGCCAATAACAAACCAAAACGTAAACAGATCGAAATAAATAAACTCCGTGCAAAAAAAAACTTTTTAAATTCACCAGTTTTAATTACATTTATATCCTGGCAGAGATAATACCTGTACAATGTTGTCACGTTGTTAACATTTTTCTAAATTCAAATTCTGCGATAACTCCGAAAATACCAACAATTGACCCATGGTTAATAGGACAGTTTTAGCTTGAAATGGGCCATATTATCTCATGTTAAAATATTCGTACTCAACGATACTCGTACCTGATACACCCTGTATAGTTACAACATTTCTGGGGAATTTTTGTTCAAATTTTAAACTCGTCTCGTATTGATTTCGAGATTAACGTGAGACGAGACGAAAATCAAAAGTATCAAAAGCTTAGGCGATTGTCTAAATTCTAAAACCCCAATCTTTATCAACATTCATGATGAACTTATTGTATTTCTTGTAAACTTTTATAACATGGCATAAAACCGCAAAGGAATTTTGGAGTACATGTCCAAAAGTTTGTGGTAGGAATAATGTTTCGATCATTTCAAGCAATCTGAAACCTGATGACCTAAATTCTTTTTACTGCAATATTACTACTGATCTCCCAGCCAAAATTTGAACAGGGAGTAAGCCCAGAAGCTGTAGTGGTGACTGAATCTTTCTTTTTTGCTCTTACTAATGCATACTTGGAAATATAAGAAATAACGATGCGGCAGGTTGGGATGGGCTCTCATTTAAGGCAAGATCGTCCCTCTAACTTCAGGCCTATAGTAAACTTTGCCTAGGTATATCATATATTGTTGCCTACTCTGGCTAAGGTTGTGGAGCCACTCGCACTAGGGAACTTGATATTAGTGTGGGCATCCCTCTAAGGTTCGGTACTTGGTCCCCTGCTTTTACTAATTTATGTAAATAATCTACCACAATTCCAGATAAAAGGTAGATTCACAATATTTGCACACGATACCACTATCCTATGGCCATGATTCAGATGTTGGTGAATGGAGGCCAATATGAAAAAGGACCTGCTTAAAATAAGGCTGTTGTAATGCCAATTCTTTGACAGTTAGTGTCTCTAAAACCAAAATCCTTAATCTCAGATGTGCTACTGAAGATATTTACTTGGAAAATCAAGCCAATTTTCAATAAATCCTTAGGTCTGTCAAAAGACCAGGTCTCTTAAGCTTAAAGCGAAAGTATGCGACAACATTTCTTCTGGTTGTTATGCCCTGAGAGTTATTGCTGATAACCTGATGTTCCCCATACTTTGCAATTATTGGGTTTCATAATCATGTCCAATCTTCGACACGAGATTTGCTTCTGGGGTTCTTGTTCTATTTATCTCTTTAATTCTATATGTTCCTTCTACAGAAAATAGTTATTAGATACGTCTTGTGTAGAGCCAAGCCTCATGATTTATGTCGTCCTCTGTTTTTAAGCCACGGTATTCTAACTTTGTGTTGACTTTTTATTCTGGAAACGAACTGTAGTCTTTAGAAAGTATAAGTGCGAATTGGAGCTTAGTGAGAGGTAAACCACTAGTGGAAATCATTGAACAGATTTTTGGGAATCACATATATTAATCAATTAGGAATACATGGAAATCACTTGGGAGTTCTTGGGAATAACTTGGGAATCGCTAGGAATCTCCTAGGAGTCCATAGGAATCACAATAGGAATCCATTGGCAATCGCTGAGAATCGTGGTAATTTCTGGGAATATCATCTCATTCTAACCCAGAAATCACATATATCACACATTTTAAACGATACAATATACAACGTACCGGTAAGTTGTGTATTCGCCTTTAAGACTAAGTTTTAGGCAACATTGAGACCTAGACGATTTCAGAGGGCCGATTCTCGGGCCAGGGAGTAAAGCTCCCCAATAGAACGAATGTTTTGTCCTTGTCAACGTAATCGGAAAGTAAACGAGAAAGATAAAGACGAAAAATTTGTTCTCTTGGAGAGCTCTACTCCCTGGCCCGAGAATCAGCCCCCAAGATGACTTTGATACGAGTTTCCCAATAACTGAACCCGACACTACGAAGAGTTTAGAGAGTTTAGAACTTGAAGAAGAAGAACGAGATGAAGATTAGGTCTGTTCTCACAGAAATCACAAACCAGTCAGAGCGTTTTTGATTGGTGAAAATCGACAACGACCGGTTTTCTGACTTTTTTCAACCAATGAAATTCGCTCAGACTGATTTGTGATTTCTATGAGAACAGACCTAAAGTATTACAATGTTGTGGATCATAAAATTGAAAACATGAATCTTGAAACCTCTCTCGAATTCGACTTGCCAAAAAAAGACACAGAATTTCTTCACACATCAGGGTTTATAGCAATTGCGATTTGCTACAATTAAGAGATTATTCAGGGCTGAACTTGAGATTATTCAGGGCTGAAGTTGCCAATTTTTCAGTGTTTTTATAAGAGAAAAGACTGTTTGGTCATAACAATGCGAAGCTTAACAATTAGATATCGTTTTCGTAATAAAATCAGCTGGATATCGGATGATTGTAGGAAATCGGACAAAAAAAATTTAAAAACATTAAAGAAATTTGCGAAACCTACACGAGTTAGTGCGGAATTAGAGGAAAAACCGAAAGTGATTTGTGAAACTCCGGGAATTTGGAAATACATATATAAAAAAGGAATGGTTATGGAAAATTTGTAAACTGCTACCGAGAAGTATAGGTACCTATATACACAATTTAACATAACATTTTCTCGCAAGATTATACAGATTGAAATTGGTAGAACAACAGTAACAAAGTTGGAAATAAGTGATTGTGTTATTCTAATTTCTTCAGGCTTTAGAACCCTTAGTTAGAACCTCAACAAAAAAGGTATCCATCTCATCCTTTCTTCAGCAGATCCATTATTGGGTATTCTTATGGATAAAGGAATTAGAATTTCAATGGAATTGAAGGCATTTTTAAAAGATATGGATATGATATAGGATTCAGTAGCAAAAGTAAAATTAGGTGGTTATTTAGTTACATTATGTATATAGAAAATCCAAAAGGGAGCTTGATAAATATCACCTTTCGAGATGGCCAATTTACTTCAATGTGAGATTTTTTGTGATGTCAGTGTCAGTCCACCAGAGAATGTTCAACTGTAGAAAAATAAGATTGAGATTTCAGGTTTCAGATTAGGTATTTCAATCCTGCAGTTGAAAAATTTTGTGGTTTTCAGGAAAACTTCACTGATAAAAATGGTACTGACTTTTGTAGCGAAGTCTGGAAAAAGTCAAATAAAGTTCAGATACCTACCCAAAGGTATAGAGTTTAAGGAATTATTGTTTTCCTTTGTCCATGTATTTCAAAGCAATTTTTAGCTTTCTTGGTTTATACAGTGTAAAATTTACAAAAATATGAGGAGGTAGGTACCTTATCCATTACCTCCCTATATGTCAGCAACTGGTTCCTATAAGTAGTCTATTTCATTGCAGTTGATAACTCAAATCGAGGTTTACGACCATAAAACCATTGTAAACCTTACAAAGATTTGGTTTGAACCAATTGAACTTCAAACTAATAATTTTTCAGCTCAGCTTCTAAGCTCTTTTTTAGGGTTTCTATATATTTAAACTTTCCAGAAGAAAAAGTTTTAAGATTTAAAAGAAATTGCAAACTAGTAAACCTGAGTTTTTAAACATCTAAATAGGTAATTGGGCTTCATTACCAAGGTTTGAAGAATTTTGTGCTTTATAGATACTTAAAGCACCTCAGCCATTAGATAACTAAAATCTAATGCTTATGGATATAAAGGAGAGTCATCAGATTTCAGACATTCAACCTTTCGAATATTCTGAAACGTTTGAAGCCTTTCTATTAGAAAATACCTACCTTTCTATTATTCTTTCTACTTTGTCACTGGATGTCACCTATTGAAGATTCCAGACTGTGGATTTGAGAAACAGAACTTTTCAATAATCTGATTTCGCAATGATTTAAAGCCTAGTTTTGCTTTCCTTTTCAATTTTTGAGGTTTTGACTCCTTTTTCTATGGATGCTTCTATTGAAAATCTTGGAATAAGATTACCTACTATACAGATGTTAAGACATTATTATAATAGTAGTTGGCTAGCAAACTCCAATTTTTAAAGCTTCTAGATTTTCAAGGCATTTGGGATCTTAAGTATATCTAAACCTCTGTCTAGAGCACCATACAAAAAATATTTACTCCATGGGAAAACTGTGTAAATACATTTGACGTACCTTCACTTCTCTTTCGTCCAACCCATCCACAAAACAGTCTTTCGCTTTAGGACACACTTCCATTTCTCAAAAGTTTATTGCACTTGCTAAGTCCTCTGGCCAATGCTCGTTTCTAACAAACTCAAACCATCCGAAAAAAAAACTGAAAGCTAACCTCAAAACCACCGACTTGAATCTGACTGACCACTATAGTTGTACACTCATAAGCTACCAACAAAAATGACCATTACCACAACAGTCCATTCAAACAACTGGTCTTAAAAAGCGGACCCTACCCAGGGTACCCTTGATTCATCTGTTGTAGGAAGCTCAGCTCGCATTGGCGGAAAGCTCCCTTTATAAATATTGAGGCAGGCGGCGTTTGGCGGCAAACTCCGCCCAAAAGCGCCAGCGAAAGGTTGGAGCTTTCGATTTGTTTTTGTTTGTTTTTTGGTAATTTGGTTTGTAAAGATTTTTCGAAGGGGGGCTTTATATGCTGGGTTTGTGCTGCATAGTGTATAGAGCTTTTTTTTTCTGTAAAGCGAACATGATACGGGAGAGATATGAATCGGAGGGACCTGTTCAAGGTGTATAATTAGTTTAGGAAATATGGCTGATGTTGAATTGTCCTAATTATTATTTTGTTTCAATTGAGAAATATTATTTTTTCAAATTTTACTCATTTTCTACTTTTTCCTTTTAAATTATAATTCTCAGTTTTATCATTTATATTTGTTCCTTTATTCTTATTGTACCATTTTATTATTTTAGTGTTTTAATTGTATCTGTGGCATTCTGATGTTTAATTTGTAATTTGTATCACTATGATTGATATTTTATTTTACCGTGTATCTAGCAGCATAATTGTAATAACCGCTCGTGTCTTGAAGTTTCTCTATTATTCTTGTTTTTAAAATTCATTGCTAAGGGTGAATGCACAGTGTGTCATCTGAATAGTAATTTGGTTTAGGGTAGGTAAGTAGCTTTGTTATTGTCAATGCATGGATACTTTTGAATTTGTGTCAGAGCTTTTTTGAAATTGTAATCATGACGTCATTCGCTCCAACAAGCAATGGGGATACTGCAAATTATAGTTTTTTTTTTATCTTCAGGGTGTATCAGGTTTGACTACAAAAATTTTAACACGTGAAAATATGGACCATTTTGAACAAAAAAAGTTTATACAATATGGGTACCTACCATGAGGTCCAAACTCAACCATTTTTAACAAAAAAGCCTTTGAAGTTTTGACATTTTTTGGCGAATATTTTAAAGATGAAGAAAATTTGAATTATTATGAGATGTAAAAAAGTTTAGTTTATTCAATTATTAAGTAATTATGCATTTTTAGTCAACAACGATAACAAAAAATTGAAAAAAACGACATAAAAATTTCACTTGTAAATTGGTATCTAAAGTCTGTTTTTTTTTTTAAAGATAATTCTCCAAGTCAAAAATTTAGTAACTATGTTGGCAACACAAGCCTTTTCTACATAAAAATTTGAAAGCATTGACAATTTTACATTGTATTGCCAACATAATGTCATTTTGACTTTTATCTTTAAAAAAGAAACACAGTTTAAACATCTGGCAACATAGCACAATAAAGAATAGGTGGTTGAACGTTGAACCTGATTGAAATGAATAAATTGATTCTTGATTTGTCTTGTCTAGTTGGGAAACGCGCGTAATTCAAATTCATTCTTTTTTGAAAATAAAATGTTCACAAACGTCGAATATGCAGATACTTGTTTAGGCAGAATCGTTACAAAATGCTCATTAAGCCGCCAGAATTTACAGGGAAACTAGGGAAAATTTTTCCAAAAGAAGAGCACCCACGTGATAAAAGAACATTGCGCCTGTTTTACAAAGATTGCGTGATACAGGAAGTGAGGAAGTGTGAGTGTGCAAATTCTGCGTGTTGATTTTAGTGTTTTGAGAACCTTTTAACAAAAATTTATATTTTCATAATAACGATTTGGGAAGTAGCTGAGTAAGTATTATTTGATTTTTCTCTTGAATGTTTAGTGCAGAAATGTCATTGAGTGCAATTCACAACTTAATAAAATGGCACATATTTTATTTCGACTAGAAAAGTGATAAAAATGCAAGTTTTAATTTACACTATTTGAAAGCCAATAGCAAACCAAAACGTAAACAGATGGAAATAAATAAACTCCGTGCAAAAAAAACTTTTTAAATTTGCCAGTTTTATCTACATTTATATCCTGGCAGAGATAATACCTGTACAATGTTGTCACGTTGTTAACATTTTTCTAAATTTAAATTCTGCGATAACTCTGAAAATACTAACAATTGACCCATGGTTAATAAGACAGTTTTAGCAGAAATGGGCCATATTAGGCGTATTCTTTCTAGTCAATTATCAGTGATCAAAGTGATATAAGTGAAAGTAATAGCGTTCTTTTATGTGGCTAACTTCATTCTGAACGTAAGTGATACAAGTGATCGGGAAAATTCCTTGTTCATTTTGATCACTTCGAGGTATTTTGACGTTTATTCAAATTTTGTTAGATTAAGAAAACACAAAACAAACCGCAATCAAAGTTCTGAAATCCATACCGACTACCGAGAAATTAATGTTAGTTTGGGTTTATTTAATTGATTTGAACAAATATGGAATCTGAAGATGCATAAAAGCTTATGCTGGTAACCGACCAAGCAGGAAATAGAGTGACTGATGAGAATGGGGTGTTTTCTTTATTTTGATATACCTATTGTCACGGATCAGTTACCGCTCTTTTAAGTACAAGTAATCGCAAGTGATCAGGATCACTTCCAAGTGATCAAACTGAAAGTGATAATTGTTAAAAAGAATACACCTATTATCTCATGTTAAAATGTTTGTACTCATACCTGATACACCCTTTATTTAGGATGACGTCATCGAACAAGGCCAGACAATGTTGTCAATGCCTATAACAAAATGAAAATGTTTATACAAGTTATGCAACTTCACGCGCCGTTGCTAATCAAAAGCATCTGAAATTCCCCTACTTTAAATGCGTTAAAAAGTACTTTTAGTTTTGTTAGGTTGGCAGCAGAAATTTACTAAATGTGACGTCATCCTAAATATTGTTGATTTCCAAGATTGCCTTTAAATGCTTGGTTTTACCGGTTTTACCTTAGTTAATATGAGGTTATTTTATTGTATTTTTGCACTACAATTGATGTAGTTATAGGATTTTCACGCTATATTTAGGATGACGTCACATTCAGTAAATTTCTGCTGCCAACCTAACAAAACTGAAAGTACTTTTTAATGCATTTAAAGTAGGGGAATTTCAGATGTTTTTAATTGGCAACGGCGCGCGATGTTTCATGACTTGTATAAACATTTTCATTACGTTATTTTTAGCTGTCATCAGAATTGTTGACACATGACATTCTGATAAATTATAAGGAAAAAAAATAGACATTGACAACATTGTCTGTCCTTGTTCGATGACGTCATCCTAAATATAACATAAAAAAACCTATATTCAATTGTTAGTACTTTTAGTGGTATACTACAATAGTTTTTGTAGTGATCACTGCCCTAACGTCATTTTAGTTTTAAGAAATCACAACATTCCGTTCGGCAACGTCGCATTATGCAATGTCTAATGTCTGCTGATGAATATTATAACCTCGAATTTCACAGTCTGTTTTGGTATGTTTTTTAGTTTTGTGTTCTGGAACTGTGTTTCGTTACTTGGAATATAAAAGCTCTCATAAGTCAAGGAGAATACACACTCAAAGGAGTGCTTATCGGCCTCGTTTTTGGTAATCGCCGCCATATTGGTGTGCTATCATTTCTGACGTCATAACTAAGTCGTCAGATGTTTAAACAGTCTACGTCAAGGCGAGAAATAACGTGCTGCCTACGTCACAACTGGTAATTTGGCGTGAGGGGGAATTGGTACACACAGGCCTTATGAGGATAGGCCATTCTGTAGTAGTAGTGTGTTACATCCTTGCTTATAAGCAACAAACCTGAAGTAGAAGCCATATTGTTATTCTTTTTGAAAACGAAAATAGGAACAAAAACAATCAATCACACTTCCAAAATAAACATAAAATTAAAGTTATGTTAGACAGTGTGTTAAAAGAATAAGGTGCAAATAACGAATGAGGAATTTCATCATTGTCACTCTTCAGAGCTTAGACAAGAAAAGCATCAGAGACGTGCGTCACATCCATTGCGTGGACGATTCTTATTGGTCGGTGAAGAATTCTACGTCATACACTATGGCGCCATTCCAGCAAGGATGATACACACCTACAAGGATCGCTTATCGGCCTCGTTTTTGGTAATCGCCGCCATATTGGTGTGTTATCATTTCCGACACTCTATTTTTCCCCAAGATAGATTTTGACATTGTCAACTTTGAAACATAAACAATACTGCGTGGCTCTGTTTGGTCTCAAAATGCCGTGTCCCTGCAGGTGAGGTATCCTTTTACATCGTTGGAAAACAATATACCTTCGTCGAGTGCAGGTACACCGGCATCTTGCGACCAATAACCGGCATTGTTTATGTTTCAAAGTTGTCATTGTCAAAATCTATCTTGGGAAAAAATACACTTTAAGTCGTCAGCTGTCCAAACAGCCTACGACAAGGCGAGAAATAACATGCTGCTACGTCACAACTGCTAATTTGGCGTGGGGGGGTAGGGAGGATTTGTTACACACAGGCCTCATGAGTCATGAGAGTTATGAGGATAGGCCATCCTTAAATAGTAGTGTGTGTGTGATTCGAATCAGCTGATAATTCAAGATGGCGACGTGGCCCGAAATGTAAACAAACATTACCCCGATATAAATGTGTGTTATTTCGACCTGTTTCAGAGTTTGATTTGATGAATTTTAATTTATTTCAATTTCCTTTAACGGTCCGTAGTTAAAACCGAGTTAGTTGGAATATTTGTCTACCAATAAAATACCTGGGCAACGGATACTAACGGACCCCAAGTAAATAGGTAAAAAGGCCTAAATATAAGTGTGTACATACTGTGATGGCAAAAATTCACTAAACAATGTAGTTCACTTTAAGTACATAAATGGCATCTTTAAACATGCCTTGCCAATCTGGACATTAATGACAAATATGAAGTGGTTGAGAGGCAAATGAACAGAAAATACCATTGAGGTAGGAAAATACAAAGTCTCCTATGGACGTCAAGTTTATTATGCCACGGCGCCATCTAGACTTTTAAAAAATTGTCATTACGTCAAACATCAAATCGCCCTAAAAACACCAGACTCACTCAAGGTAAAGTTAATAGGTTTTCTGGTATTAGTAAACAGAT